GGCAAGGAATTCCATAGATCCACAATCACTTCCATCTCGAAGGAGAAAGGTGGTAGAAACATGGGAACGCCACCACCTGCTGCAAGTTCATCTCCAAGCCATTCACTAGCTTCATTTGGAAATATACTGCCTTTCCTTCACTGTCACTTGGTAAAAATCCTGGATTTCCCTCCCTAACAGCATTATGAGTGTGCCTACTAAAAATGGACTGCAGCAGTTCAAGAGGACAGCTCACCACCACCACTTCAAGGACAACTAGGGACAGGAGATAAATGCTGGCCGGACAGCAACATCCAAATCCCATGAATGAATTTTAAAATGTAGGTAATGAGAACCGACTACAGATCCATATATTTCTTAACTCATATACATACATCTCCAAAACCACATTCCTATATACCTCAATAACCTTTGCTTTCTTTGCCTGGCAAAAATCTATCTATCTTGAGCTTAAAAACATTCAGTGACCTATTTCCACCACCACCCAAGGCAGAAACTTCCAAAATCATGTAGCCCACTGAGAGAACATAAAATTCTGCATCTCTCACCTGTCAGGCTGATCCCTAATTTTAAAACAGTGCCCCTCCTAATTGTATGCTTGCCCACAAGAGAAAGCATCCTTTCCATGTTCCCTAAAGTGCGGCTTTTGAGTGAGAAACAAAGATGGGAAAATGCAGAGAAATCTGATAGCAGGAAAGAACTAAATAAGGTAGAGGATGCTGAGGTCCTGCCGAGCTTAATGTCAGTCATTGACATTTTATTCTTCCATTTTCTACTCCGCATTCGTGCTGCCAGCCTAGCCAAGTAGGGAGAATAAACAGTTGCATAGGTTGTAGCTAGTGGCCCTTGGAAATGGTAGGGTACTTAGCTACTATGATGATGTGGCGTGTTGGCGGAAGGGTTTCCAATACTTGTTAATTAAGCCTTTAACCCCTCACCTGACCCTTCTCTACCCATTTTTTCTAAGCTTACACATGATTAATGGCAAGGTATTAGAATGTGCCACAAAGTCAGTACTTTCAAGAAAGGAAAGATTAGCAAGATAGAAGAAATGTTCACACTAGAGAAATGAACAGTTGGCCTTAGTGTCCATTAGTGTTAATATCTTTGAAACTTGATATTCCAATATGAATCATAGCTTGAAGAGATGATGAATAAAGATTGAAAAATTTACAGGGAGAATAACTGTGGAAATGTGTGGGTGTGTGGCATAATATTTGTAACTCCACATTTGGTGTTTAGCATTAGATGTGCTAAATTAAGAAACATAATTTGCATGTTCCAAGTCAGTATCAGGCTTGCCAAGATAAAATTTCTTAGAAATAAATCACAAAAATAAGCTCATTAAGAAACAATTTAGATAAATTACTTGGGACATCTTGATTGGGTCACTGTGCAGTTATTTTTTTCTCAGCAAAAGTTTATATTTCCATGGTGCCTCCAAGTTGAAAAGTATCCTGAGGCATTGATAGACCAGGCTTTAATGTAGATCAGCAAGCAGAAGGGAGAAGAATGGATGGAATGTGCAATGAGTTATGGTACTAGGCAGAAGGCATATAGATGTGTGGATGATGAAGGAGGTCAAGTAATAATAATTGTCATTGTAAGTCATTGTAATAATCAAGTTTGGAGGTGACCAACGCATCACCCAGCTTTTAACAGCAGATGGACTGAGATGTGCAGGGGCGTCCAGATATTTATCTGGAAAAAGTGGACTGCTTTGTTGGATAAGTAGTCTAAATGGGGAGGGGTAAATTGAAGGAAGCATGGTAGCCTGGTTTTGCATTGGAATGCCTCTGGAAGGTATTGCCAGGAGGAGGGGCCCAACGATTGTCTCTAGAAGTTCCAAAGTAATAATAAGAACATAAGCCATTTCTGGATATACTTTGGTTATAATCCAGTGAATAGGAACATGCAAGGCCATTCACAGGGAACTGGACAATGAAGGAGAGGTATTGGAGGAAGATAGCAAGGTCAACTATGTGAAATGCTGCCAAGATTGAAAAGGACAATTATGTTGGTGCTTTACCAAGAGATGTCATTTGTGACTTGGATTAGGCCTGTTGCGTTCCTGTGGTAGTGGTGAACAACTGATTGGACAAATTCAAACTTGGAATTTTAGGGATGACTGATACAATTTGGGAGGCAGTAACAGAGGAATAACTTTAGAAATGCAAGACAGATTGGAGGTGAGACAGAGGTCAGTAAGAACAGAGGCAAGCTTTTTGAAAAGGTAGTGAAATAACTCCCACAGATGCCGGTATCCCGTCGTCAAGTCACCCTTTATTTACACATGAGCAGTCCTTGAATTTAGTACTACCTCTTCAAAGTCAGCTATCAGAGTGGCAGTATCTCTGACACTCCCCTTTTTATCTTTTAGCCAAAGATCCCTGATTGGACCAGAATAACAACTCCAATGACTGAGCAGCTGACTGACCTCATTACAATCACTACATCCCTCTCCCTCTGAGTTTGAGGACATGGACCAGTCCTTTTTCTTAAATAGCCTCCCGGGGCAGGTTCCTTTGACTCGGCATTCACTATGGGTGGCTTGTAACTCGAGAGCTCAACTGTTGTGCCAGAAGCGCGTCGGTAGAATTTCACTCTCTTCCTCCAGTGGCAAAGGCATCAAGGTGGCTACGTCAGACACATCCATCTCTGATTCTGAGGACTCATCAATGGTTGACCGAAAGGATGAACCCATGGGAACTGGCAAACTTTGATGAGTCCTCAGTATCAGAGATGTACATGATGGATGTAGCCGCCTCAATGCCTTTACCACTGGAAGAAGAGCGTGGCACAAGAGGCAAGTGCACATGAGTTACACACTGCCTGTATTGGACGCCAAATTGGAGGAACCTGACCCAGTGCTAAAACAACTCAAGAGGCTCTCTAAGAAAAAGGACCAGGATATGTCCTAAGTCAGGATGTGCAATTACCTGCATTTCATTGCTGTAACTTTCTTGGAAGTCTGTTGAGTTGCACTGTATTTCAAGCTTTTTGGAAGACCGTCCACACCGCATCAACAGCACTACTCTCATCAACTATCTCTGTTACCTTTTCATAAAACTCCAACAATAAATTAAACAATTTTCCTAAAACAAATCAGGCTGCCTCTTCCTAATTATCCTGTATCATCCTCGGTGACAAATAAACTCTATCCTGAATAATTGTTTCAAGAAGTTTCCCATCAATCAAATTAAATCCATTGGTCTGTAATTGCATAAATTACCCATAGACCCTTCTGTCACCATCCTTTATTTCAGGGAGGATTGTAAGTTGATTGCTACTGTCACTGCAGTTTATACTCTCACTTGCATCAGTGTCATTGGATAAATGTCATTCGGCACTGATACCTTAACAATTTTAAGTAATGACCGACTATCCAGTTCCACCTCCTTACTTATTTTAAACCTCTCTGAGTTTCCTCCTCTGCCATCAAGACTTGGGCAACACCTCACTTCTTGCTAAACACAGATACAAAGTCAGTTAACACCTCAAAACTGCCCTGTCTCCATGTGCTAATCCCATCTTTATTCCCTAATCAGCCCTACTCTTTTTTTTTAACCACCCTTTTACTGTCCTTTTACTGTTTATATGCCCATAGAAGATTTTAGGTTTCCCCTTTATCTTAGCTACTGATGATTTATCATACTCCTTCTTTCCTCTCTTACTTGCTTTTTTTTAATCCCTCACTTCTGAACGTACTATATTCAGCTTGGTGCTCAATTGTATTTACTACTTGTCACAAATACATTTTTTTTTTCCTTTTCTTAATCTCCATCTTGTTTTTCATCCAGGGAGCTCTGGGTATTTTTGCCTACCTTTTCCTTTTGAGGAAATAAATATACCAGAACCTTGCCCAATCCATGTCTTCCTTGAAAGTAGCTCATTTTTCAACTACTCTTTTTCCTGTCAGTCTTCAGTTCCAGTCTAACCTTCCAGTCTACACTAGCTCTGTTGAAGACAGCTCTCCCATTGTAAATAATTGTTCCTCTGAATTGTCTTCTGTCCTCATTTCCGCCGTATCCTAAACTTTAAAACATACTATCCCCTAAATAGTCCCTTACTGACCCTTGTTTACTTGACCAATCTAATTCTGCCCTTATTCATACTAGGGTCTGTTAAAGCTACAACATTATATTTCCGCAGGGAAGTCTGCATCTATACCTGGCAAATCTTATTGAATATACTCTGCATTTATATAAATGCAATGTAATCCTGGTTTAGATTCCATTTCTTTCCTGTTTTCTGTGACATGACCTATTAACTTTCTATTCTTTATCCTAAAACTACCTGTGTCTCCCTCTGTTTCGTGCACCCTTTGTTTTTTATTCATATGTGGGATGTGGGCATTTTTATTACCAGTCTCTGGTTGCCCTTCAGAAGGTGGTGGTGAGTTGTCTCTTTGAACTGCTACAGTCCATGTACTGTAGGTAGAGCCACAATAAGAATGTAGGAACAGGAGTAGGCCATTCAGTAAGATCATGACTGACCTGTGGCCTTGCTCCATATGCCTGCCTTTGATCCATAATCTTTTAAAACTTTGCTTAACAAAAAAAATCCATCTCAGATTTAAAATTAACAACTGGTCCTGTATATGCTGCCATTTGTGGAAGAGAATTCCAAACATTTACCATCCTTTGTGTGTAGAAGCACTTCCTAATATTTCTCATGAACAATCTGGCCCTAATTCTCAGACTATGCCCCCTAGCCCTTGAATCCCGAGGCATGAAAATAGTTTATCTATATCTACCCTGTGTTTTCCTGTTACTAACATGGAGAATTCAGTGAGATCACCCCTTAGCCTTCTAAATTCTAGAGAAAATGCTGAGAGAAAGGGCGTTCCAGGATTTTGACCCAACATCACTTTCCCTTCTGACCTTCCTTCCTTCATAAGGTCAGTATGCCTTGCCTAGCTTTTGAAATTGAATAATGTTAAGGGAAAATATTTATGTAATATGGTTATAGTAATACCTTTTAATGTTTTTATCCTTTAGAGCATGAGAAGCACAGGCTCTGCAAAAGTGCAGATTACATGAACTTACACTTCAAAGTGAAATGGCTATATAATGAATATGTGCGAGATCTTCCAGCAATGAAAGAGACTGTACCTGAATATCCAGCGTGAGTATTGAGTTGGGACATGTGCTTTTGGAGAAAGACCAGTATTTTATGTTGGGTGCAGATCCTTCTTAGAATTGGGTTTTTCTGGGAGATGATTTTTGATAAAGCATCATGCTTCTAGAAACTGATCATGTGATCAAGTTGCCTGGGAGGTAAACAACACATAAAGGGTCAACACTAAGTTAAAGTGTGGGGTATTAGACTGTTTGAGTGGATTTGTTTCAATCAGGCTTCTGAGTTTAGAAAAAGGTAACTACAGACCACGGAATTTTGCTTTTCAGCAAATTGATTTGAAATTCTGTGTACTGCCTAAAACAGTTTAAAACTCTTTAATAACTCACAGACTTCATTAACTGTGAGGTGGACCTCTAGGCTAGTCAAGCTGAGAAGGGAGATAGATAAAACTCTGTTGTTAAAGAATATTATAACAGGACAATTCTGACCCAAGATAGCTACAGTTAGTATATTATTGATGCCAGCATTGAACTGGGAATTTACAGTACTGGGAGGATTGGAGGAGATTTGAGGGAACACCCTTACCAGAAATAAGTATGAGTCCCAAAAAATCTCAACCCTCATACATATCTTCAAATAGTATGTAGAGTAATGGTTGATCTTAAAATTTCTGGTAAGGATCTGCCTTGAGTTTTAGAGATACAATTCAAATGAGTGTAGAAGGAAATTTAAATTTAGTTTACAGAATAAGTGACTGTGTTCATTGTACTCGTAATATTCTTCACTCAATTGACTATTTAGCAATGCAGTTATCAATATTCATATAATTTGATTTTCATTAGGTAAAATACTTCTGATTTAAACAGTGAATCTTGTGGCTTCATTTCTTTAAACATAGAGACATAGAAGATAGGAGCAGGAGGAGGCCCTTCGAACCTGCTCCACCATTCTTCACGATCATGGCTGATCATCCAACTCAATAGCCTAATTCTGCATTTTCCCCATAACCTTTGATCCCATTTGCCCCAGGTGCTACATCAAGTCGCCCCTTGAATACGTTCAATGTTTTGGCAATTCCACATGCTCGCCACTCTTTGGATAAAGAATTGTCTACTCATCTCTGTCCGAAATTGTCTACCCCAAATCCTCATACTATGATCCCTGGTTCTAGACAGACCCACTATCGGGAGCATCTTCCCTGCATCTACCCTGTCCAGTCCTGTTAGAATTTTATAAGTCTGTATGAGATCCCCCCATCATTCATCTGAACTCCAGCGAAAACAATCCTAACCTAGTCAATCTGTCCTCATACGTCAGACCCGCCATCCCCAGAATCAGTCTGGTAAACTTTTGCTGCACTCCCTCGAGAGCAAGAGCATCCTTCCTGCGAAAAGGAGACCAAAACTGCACACAATATTCCAGGTGTGGTCTCAGCAAGGCCCTATACAACTGCAACAACACATCCCTGTCCTGTACGCAAAACCTCTCGCTATGACGGCCAACATACAATTTGCCTTCTTTACCACCTGCTGCACCTGCATGCTTATATTCAGCGACTGGTGCATAAGGACACCAAGGTCCTGCTGCACACTACCCTCTCCGAATTTATAACCATTCAGGTAATAATCTGCCTTCTTGTTTTTGCTTCCAAAGTGGTGAATAACCTCACATTTATCCAAACGTATTGTATCTGCCATTGATTTGCCTACTCAGCCAACCTGCTAGTTCATGCTGAAGGATCTCTGCATCCTCGTGACAGATCACCCCCACCCAACTTGGTATCATCTGCAAACTTAGAGATGTTACATTTTGTTCCTTCATCCAAATTATTAATATATATTGTGAATGGCTGGGGTCCCAGCACTCCCTGGCACCCCACTAGTTACTGCCTGTCATTTTGGAAAGGACCCATTGATTCCTCTCTTTGTTTCTTCTCTGCCAACCTGTTTCCTATTCATCTCAATACACTTCCTCCAATCCCATGAGCGTTAATCTTGCACATTAATCTCTTATGTGGGACTTTGTCAAACGCTTTTCTGAAAGTCCAAATATACTACATCAACTGGCTCACCCTTGTCAACTCTACTAGTTACATTTTCATAGAATTCCAACAGATTAGCCAAGCATGATTTCCCCTTCATAAATCCATGCTGACTCTGTCTGATCCTGCCACTGCTTTCTAAATGCTCTGCTATAAAATCCTTGACAACGGATTTGAGAATTTTCCCCGCTACTGATGTTCGGCTATAATTATATATACCGGTCTATAATTCTGTTTTCTCTCTACCTCCCTTTTTGAATATTGGAGTGACATTAGCCACCCTCCAATCTGCAGGGACTGTTCCAGGGTCTATAGAATCCTATTCGATGACCACCAATGCATCCACTATCGCTAGAGCTACTTCCTTAAGTACTCTGGGATGTAGATTATCAGGCCCTGAGGATGTATCGGCCTTCAATCCCAACAACTTTCTGAGCGCCATTTCTCTATTAATTTTGATCTCCGTCAGCTCTTGCCTCTCACTAAATCTTACATCCTCCAACAATTCTGGTATCTGATTTGTCTCCTCTTTTGTGAAGACTGAACAAAAGTATGTATTCAGTTCCTCAGCCATTTCTTTATCCCCTATTATACATTCTCCTGCTTCTGTCTGTAGGGGACCTACATTTGTCTTTACCAAACTCTTTCTCTTCACGTACCTATAGAAACTCTTAGCATCAGTCTTTATGTTCCCTGCAAGCTTAGTTTCGTCTTGGTCGTTCTTTGCTGAATTCTAAACTGCTCCCAATCCTCAGATTTATTATTTTTCTTGGCCAATCTGTATGCTTCTTCCTTGGATCAGATACTATCTCTTATTTCTTTTGTAAGCCATGGATTGGCGTTCTTACCCATTTTGTTTTTGTGACAGACAGGTATAACAGTTGTTGCAGTTCCCCCATGCGTTCCTTGAATGTTTGCCATTGCCTATCCACTATCCCTTTAAGTAACTCTCCCTAATCTATCAAAGCCAACTCATGCCTCATATACCCGTAGTTGAATAATTCTTCAGTACGACTTCTGGGATGTTGTCATGGTCCGTATCTAGTACCTACCCTTGTTTTGTGACTTCATGTGAAATGGATCAAATTATCTGAAGACTGGCATAAATGATACTGGGGACTGCAGAAGGAAGCTGACATGGATCATTCTCTTGATACTTGCAGGCTGAAAATGTATACAGATGCTGCAGCTTTATCTTTTGCTCCTGAATGAGGCAGTATCGTGGATCTTCGATTGGATCTTATAGTTGTGGGATTATTTATTATTGCTGCTTCTTGTCATACAAATAGTCCTGTGTTGTAATCTTTACCAGATTAATAATGTATTTTTAGGTTTGCCTGGTGCTACTCTTGGTATGCACTTCTGCATTCAACGTTGAACCAGGGTAGATGCAGATTGGGCGAATCAAATTAGTCACAATACTGTAGAGGAGGAATTCCTGAAGTGTATATGGGTTGGTTTTCTGGCCTAATATGTTGAGGAATCAACTAGGGAACAAGCCAACTTAGATTAGGTATTGTGCAAATGTGAAAGGAATTGCTAATGTAGTTGTGAGAGACCTTGGGATTGAGCAACCATAAAAAGATAGAATTCTTCATCAAGATGGAGAATGAAAAAGTTGCTTCTGAGACTAAGGTCCTGAAACTTGATCAGGGAAACCACCATCGTATGAAGCATGAGTTGGCTGTAATGGTTTGGGAAATGATATTGAAAGGAATAACAGTGGATATACAAAGGCAAACATTCAAAAAGCAAATGAGTAAAGTACAAAATTGCCTATTCCTGTCTGGTGCAACAGTGCACAGAGAACAGTGGACAAGCCAGAGCCAAAAAGAGGTGTACAAATTGGTAAGAAAATCAGGAACTATTTAGAAGCTGGCAAAGGAAGACCAAGAAGTGGAAAACAGCGTATGAGTAAGCTAGCAGGGGACACGAGACTGACTGACTGTAAAAGTTTCTATAGGTATGTAAACAGAAAAAGATTGGTAAAACTAATGTAGTTCCCTTACAGTCAAAATGGGCGAATTTATAATGGGAACAAAGGCTTATGAACTAGCTCTGTCTTCACAAAAGTGGATGCAAATAATGTACCAAGAAAGATGGGGAACAGAAGGTTTAGAAAGAGTAAGGGACTGAAGTAAATCTATATTATTAAAGGAATGATGTTGGAGAAATTGATGGAATCAAAAGCTGAGAAATCCCCAGGGCCTGATAATCTGCATCCCAGAGTACTGAAGAAAGTGACCCTTGAAATAGTGGATGCGTTTGTGATCATCTTCCAAGAGTCTGTAGACTCTGGAACAGTTCCTACAGATTGGAGTGTAGCTAATGTAACCCCACTATTTAAAAAGGGAGGTAGAAAGAAAACAGGGAATTAAAGACTGGTGAGTCTTTCATCAGTTGTAGATAAGATGCTCGAGTCCATTATCAAGGATTTTCTATCAGAGCATTTAGAAAACAAAGGCAGAATCGGACACAGTCAGCACAAAAGGCAAATCATGGTTGATAAATCTACTGGAATTGTTCGAGAATATAACAAATAGAGTTGACTGAGGGAGCCAGTGGATGTGTTTATTTTAATTTTCAGAAGGCTTTCGACAAAATACTACTTGTAAACTTAAACTGCATGGGATTGCAGGTATTATATTGAGATAGAGAGAAAATTGGTTAGCAGACAAGAAACAGAGTAGGAATAAATGGTTCTTTTTCTGAATGGCAGGCAGTGATTAAACTAGTTGGGCACCACAGGGATTGGTACCGGGTACCTAGCTAATCACATTACATATGTATAATTTTGATGAGGGAACTAAATGTAACATTTCAAAATTTGCAGATGACACTGAGCTGGATGGAAGGGGGAGCTATGGCGAGATTGCAGAGATGTTGAAGTACGATTTGGACAGACTGAATGAGTGGGCAAACGTATGGCAGATGCAGTATAATGTGGATAAATGTGAGGTTATCACTGGTAGCAGAAATAGGAAGGCAGGTTATTATTTAAATAGCTGTAAATTGAGAGAGGGAATATTCAACGAGATCTGGGTGTCCTTGTGCACCTGTCGCTGAAAGTAGGCATGCCCATGCAGTGGACAATAAAGAAGGCAAATTATGTTTTGGCCTTCATAGAGAGAAGATTCAAGTACAGGAACAAGGATGCCTTGCTGCAATTATACAGGGTAAGGCCACAACTGGAATATTCTGTGCAGTTTTGGCCTCCTTATTTGAGGAAGGATGCTCTTGCTATAGAAGGAGTACAGCAAAGGTTTACCAGATTATATCCTGGGATGGCCAGACTGACATATGAGGAGAGATTGAGTTAGTCAGGATTGTAATCACTAGAATTTAGAAGAATGAGGGGCATCCTATAGAAACCCATAAAATTCTAACAAGACTAGACAGGTTTGATGCAGGAATGATGTTCCCAATGGTGGAGAGTCCAGAACCAGGGGCCATAGTTGAAGGATAATGGGTAACCTTTTAAGACTGAAATGAGGAGAAATGTCTTCATCCAGAGTGATGAGCTTGTGGAATTTGCTACCACAGAAAGTTTCATTAATACCAAAACGTTGCTTGCTTTCAGGAAGGATATAGATATAGATTTTGCCAAAAGGATCAATGGATATGGGGGAGGATAGGATAAGCATATTGAGCTCGATTAGCAGCCATAATTATATTCAATGGCAGATCAGGCTCGAGGGGTCGAAAGGCCTACTCCTGCACCTATTTTCTATGTTTCTACGATCCCCTGGCTTGATAAGAATTGTAGAGTTGGGGTATGCCAGGCTATAATCTTACAGATTGTGGTTGAATATAAATCAGCTTCTATTGACAGACCAGTGCCTCGTAGATCCCCAGTTTTGAGCTGTTACACATGTCTGAATCTAAACTGTAATAACATGGTGGTAATGCCACTCAATACAATGGAAGTATTCTTAATGTGAAGACAGGACTTCGTCTCAATAAAGGCTGTGTAGTGGTCACTCCTACCGATCCTATCATGAATGTCTGTGATGGGTAGATTCATGATTACAAGGTCTATATTTAGACTTGTTGGCTCCAACATCACCTGCTGCAAGACAAGTGTGACAGCTAGCTTCTTGAGGCCTTGGCAACCCCATCAATTGTGGTGCGACTAAGTCATTCTTAGACATGGACATGGTATCCCCCTATCCAGAGAAGATTTTGTACCTTTTTCACCCTCAGTACTTCTTCCATTTGTGTTGAACTTGGAGGAGGACTGATTAATCAGCTGAAGGAGGGCAGTATATTATAATCATTTGGCTACCTTGCTCATGTTTGACTTAATGCTATTGGATCTGGCGTCAATGTTGAGGACCCCCAGGCAATTGCCTCCCAATTGTATACATTTGTGCCTTTATTGAGTTTATCCTACCAGTGGAATAGAACATTCCGTGGGATGGTGATACTGGTGCCTGGGACACTGGCCCTAAGGTATAATTTGGTGATTTTAATTGTGTCAGGATGTTGCTAACTCTCCCAATTCTGTTGCAAGCCCCAGATGTTAAAAAGGAGGAATTTACAAGCTGACAGGGTTGAATGTGCTGCTGTCATTTCTGGGGCTGAAGTCAATGGTGCATGATTCATCCTGTTGTGTTCCTTTTTGACTTTCAAAATATATCTGTGTATTACAATCCTAATAATATACGATCAAAGTAATGCTAACTCTGATTCATTATAAGTTTATTTGAAGTTCATTTACACCTTGATGACTGTATTTGGTCTTGTATATTGTAGGTGGTTTGAACAATTTGTAATGCAGTGGTTGGATGAGAATGAGGAAGTTTCATTAGAATTCCTACATGGAGCTCTTGAGAGAGATAAAAAGGATGGGGTATGTATCCAGGATTTATGTATTACCTAGAGTCCGACAGCATGGAGGCAGGCCCTTCGGCCCAAACTGGTCCATGCCAATCAAAATGTCCATCCACGCCATCCCCATTTCCCTGCACTTGGCCCATATCCTTCTAAACCTTTTTTATCCATGTATTTGTCCAAACACCTTTTAAATGTTGTTAACGTACCTGCCTCAACCACTTCTGCTGGCCGCTCATTCCATATGCATACCACTCTCTCTGCAAAAGTGTTGCCTCTCAGGTTTCCATGTATCCTTGCCCCTCTTACCTTAAACTGATGGCCTGTTGTCCTCAATTCCCCAACCCTGGGAAAAAGACTGAGTGCATTCGCCCTATCCATGCCTCTCATGATCTTATACACTTCTGTAAGATCCCCCTCAGTCTCCTATGCTTTAAAGAAAAAAGTAGTAACTTGTCCAACCTCTCCCTATAACTCAGTCCAACCTCCCCCTATAACTCAGTCCCTTGAGTCCTGGCAACATCCTCATAAACTTCTACTGCACTCTTTCCAGTTTAATAACATCCTTCCTATAGCAAGGTGACTAAAACTGAACACAATACTCCCAAGAGTGGCCTGACCAACATCCTGTGTAGCTGCAACATAACTTCCCAACTTCTCTACTCAGTACCCTGACTGATGAAGGTCAGTGTGCCAAAAGCCTTCACTGCCCTATCTACCTGTGACTCCACTTTCGGAGAACTGTACACCTGGCTCCAAGGTTCCTCTGTTCTACTACACTCCTTAAACCCTCAAATTCACCATGAAACTCCTACCTTGATTTGACTTTCCAAAATACAACACCTCACACAAATCTATATTAAACTCCATTTGCCATTTCTTGGCCCACTTCCCCAGCTGATCATCGTCCTGCTGCAATTTCTGATAACCTCCCTCACTGTCCACGAGACCGCCTATTTTAGTGTCATCCACACACTTGCTCATCATGCTTTGTATGTTCTCGACCAAATAATTGATATAGATAACAAACAGCAATTGGCCCAGCACCGACCCCTGAGGCACACTGCTAGTCTCAGGCCTCCAGTCCGACAAGCATCCTTCCACTATTACTCTCTGCTTCCTATCATCTAGCCAATTGTGTTTCCAATTTGCCAGCTCTCCCTGGATTCCATGTGATCTAACCTTACAGAACAACCTACCATGTGGAAACTTACTTCAGGCTTTACTGAAATCCACATAGACCACGTCTACTACCCTGCCCTCATCAACCTTCCTGGTTACTTCATCAAAGCACTGTAACAAATTTATGAGACATGATCTCCCATGCACAATGCCACGCTGACTAAGAAAGAGTGAAAGACTTTAGACAGTGGTCTTTCCACACTGTATCTTGGCAACTGCCCCAAGCTATAGTGCGTCCCTCAACATGTAGTCCTAGACCTTGGAATGTGCCAGTCTGCAACACCCAGTTGAGGTCAACTCCATGCACCAGAAAACCAACAAGTTTGGGCAGACCAAAGATGATCATTCACTAAGTTGATGATTCTACGGACGCAGTCTCGGTGTGCATCCCAGGGAATAGATCTCATAGCACAGAGCCCTGCGTCACGGAGCTGCTTAGGACAAACCTTGACAAGAACCACTGATCTTTCTCCAGATTTCCTTTGCAAAGGCACATTGCAGAAGGAAATGTATAACAGTCTGTAACCCCCTACAGCTGCCAATTGGGCAGTGTGGGTAGAGCAGAGAGACCAGGCGTACACGAAGGATCTGACAGGCAGTGCCCTTCTCACCACCACCCAAGCTATTTCTTGGTGCTTTTATGAAAATTCTGGTGATGAGGCATTTTGCCAAATGACTTGGATAGACTGTTCAGGGAACAACCTGACAAGATCCACCCTCACCATTACCCACAGATTCTTGAGGATGCTACGTGCTGACCACTCCCTGATGGACTTGTGGTCAAAGGTGTTTTTCTTTGCAAATTTCTTCACAAAGGACAGGTGATACAGAATGGTCCAGCTCCTTGGAGCATTCCCTGGCACCGAGGCCAGACCCATCCTTCACAACAACAGGGGCAGGTAGAACCTCAGTACCTAGTGACACCTGGTGTTTGCGTGCTGAAGGTCTAAGCACAGCTTAATGCAAATGCACACAAAGGTGGCCTCCAGGATGAGTGCAGTGGTGGGTATGTATTTTCTACTTCACCTGATGCAGAGCTTTATACACGGTGTCCCTGTGGACATGCTCCATCCTAGACCTCCAGATGAAGTGGAAGATGGCTTGGGTGTCTGTGACAGCACAGGTTCTGGGAATGGGCCAGACCTGCGCCATGTACAACAGCACCGAGGGTCCTCGCACCTGATGACCAGGTTGTTAATCTCAATGGAGAGGGAGCAGTGCTCCCAAAAGCCCAGTTTCTGCCTGACCTTAGCAAAATGCTCCTCCCAAGTTTTCGCGCACACCCCAGCCCATCCAAACCATATTCCCAGCACCTTTAGATAATCTATTTGATGGTGAGGGGGATAATGGATCAGTTGGCCCAATTCCCAAAGACAAGCGGAGATAGTTGGGGGCAGGGTGATTGTAACCACCGTACCCCAGTAAAGCAGCTACAAAGATGAAAAGTTATACATCTCTTTAGAAAAATCTCTTTACAAAAGGCTGTCGAGCTAATTTGACAGAAGGATAGGGAATGCACATATTATTGCTATTCTATAATAGCCTCTAATCATAATCAATGGAGTTGAATTTTGTGATGAGTACATTGAAATCAAACTCTAAATGTTTGATTGCATATTAGTAGACGCTATCTAACCAATTTTTAACCTCTGTTGTTTATTATTCTTATTACATGTTGAAAGTTCTAGCATTCCTGAAGCTGTAGACTGAAGAGGAATAGTGGTGTTCTGTTTCTGGTTGCAAATGAAAAAAGTGTTACAGTTACTTTAACTATGACACAACATAAAAATGCATATGAATCAAATGAAAAGAAAGTGTTCCTGAATCTCCTAAACTATAAACAAGAATTCAGTTTTGATCAATGGAATCCCAAATGAATCCGAGTAATAAAAGTGCAATTTGGGAATTAGAATATTTAACATATGTTCTGAAAGTTTTTTCTAAATTTATATGTTGTACATCAGTTCCAGCAAACATCTGAGCACGCTTTATTCTCCTGCTCGGTGGTGGATGTGTTCACCCAATTAAATCAGAGTTTTGAGATTATCAAGAAACTCGAGTGTCCTGATCCAGAGATTGTTGCTCATTACATGAGGCGATTTGCAAAGGTAAAAATATTCTTTTTAAGATTCTAGTTGAAAGGATTTGATGACAAAATGTGAACTTTGGCAGTGACTTGTTGCAACATTGTTTTGTTAATAAAGGATTGATTATTAATAAAGGATCCCACCTGGGCATTTGGTCAGTTAAAATAACTGCATTGACTTACTCCTTCCAATTCTGCTGTTTGCTTGTGAGTTGTGAGCAATAAAGAGCAACACATACCAAATGACAGCAAGGTCCAAAGATATCTTTGAGGTCCTGATTGAAATTTTAACCTGGTGTCTGTGTGGCAAAGCAGTGTGACATCTAGACCAGGCCAACATTGTGACAAAACAAACAGCGGCAGAGAAAACCCAGAAAAGTAGATTATTTTGCAGTTATGGAGGAACAAGTAGGTTCCTGTTGCCCCATGAGGGAAGCATGAGGGGCTTTTCTCCCACAATCACAACACTAACCCGACCACCTCTTCCAATTTGATTACTCAGGAACCATTCCTTCAAGCCCCCACATGTGTTCTCCTGTTTCCTTAAATCAGCCATCAATTCCCAATGTTGGAAAGCCAATATCGTGAGGTCAGGTAGCTGGATTATCCTGGGCATGCTGTGCAAGTCTGGTGGTTTGACTTCTGCATCGGAATGCCAGCTGTAAAACTCCAGGCAGGAAGTTCAAGTCAGAAATTAATTGTTTGTCTTTTTTCTCCTCTTTTTAAATATATAATTGATTAGTTTTGCTGTTGCCTCTGATAATGCTATAATCTATAGTATATGCTGAATATACTTCAAAATGATGCTTTGTGTTGATGTTTAATGTCTGTGTATAATGGAAAGTAATGAAGTTTACTGAGACAAATTTTGGAGTATCCTTAACAAGTGTAACATATTTCCTCATGATAAACTCTATCCTATAATTTGTCTTTGTAAATGAAAAATAATAAACTTTAATATAAAATTTGCACGACCTCTGTTTATTGTTAGCAATTAATAACATACTTTATTGTTCATGAATATTTGCAGAAGGAATTGGGTTCATAAATGTTTCTTTCTTTTTGGCAGACAATAAGCAAAGTACTGCTACAGTATGCCGACATTCTTCTGAAGAACTTTAAGACCTACTGTTCCAAAGACACACTAGTCAGTATATTTTCTTTATTCTAACTCTTACTAAGTTATGGTTTCATATTTAACAATCTCTCTGCAACAGAGGAAAGGTATTTATGTTCCTAGTTATAAAACACAAGATCCTATGGTTTTGTACAGTTTTATCATTGACCTGCCATTTTATAGAATTCTGATTTTAAGCTATCATTTAATGTGTTTGTCCAAATTCTTATTCTTGGCTAGCTTTATCACACCAAATTTCTCTGTGTGAATTTGATCTAGCATCATTCTCAGCAATCAACTAACTGATGTCTTCTGAAAATTGTCCATCATCAATGTTGGATGATGCAAGCCTTCTTTCAACTATTAATAGAGAAGACTGACCCATTATCTTTGCCCCAGTTGTATTTTGTTTCCTGGTATTTGTCTTTAAGCTTAGCAAGAACATTCAAACTTCACTGCTATGTTTGACCTCAAGCAGAACAGCCACCACATACTGACATAATTGATAAGACTACCTAATTAATTCTGTCAGAGATAGTAAGAACTACCGATGCTGGAATCAGAGACAACACAGTGTGGAGCTGGAGGAGCACAGCAGGCCAGGTAGAATCAGAGAAGCTGGAAAGTTGACATTTCGGGTCGGAACTCTTCTTCAGAAGCTTTTCTGAAGAAAGGTCCCAACCTGAAAAGTCAACTTTCCTGTTCCTCTGATAGTAGGAACTGCTGATGCTGGAGAATCTGAGATCACAAGGTGTAGAGCTGGATGAACACAGCAGGTCAAGCAGCATCAGAGGAGCAGGAAAGCTGACGTTTCGGGTCT